TACTACTACTACTACTACGACTTCTGGTACTGCTACTACTACGGCCCTACTGCAGCAGCAGCTGTCCCAACGACGACTACGACTGCACGGGCCAGGACTACTACGACGATGCCTTTACTGCCGCGACTGCGAGTTGTGTCTGCTGCAACGACAGCACTATTATTGCAAATATTGGTGCTGCTACTCGCTCCGGCGGCCAGAAGATTTGCCAGGACTACACAAACGGCACCACGTGTAAACACGGTACGGCACGGCTGTCCACGTACGCAAACAGTATTACACTCGACAGTGCCACCAGCGTCACCAGCAGCATGCACAACAGCATCACTTGTTAAGGTCCACGAGCCCAAACGCAGCAACAACCAGCACCTGAACCAGCATCACATCAAAGATGACAACATTAAGAACAACAGCAAGCGTAAGAGTTGGTTTCAAAACGACAACGCATACCACAAGCCAGAGCCCAACAACCAAGACAACAGCAAGGTACCAAGCAGCGAAGGCAACAGCAGCATCAGCAACTAAAGACAAAGCAAAAAACAGCAATTGCAACAATATAACACGACCACAATGACAACCACACCCAACACCACCACTAATTTCCGGAACCACTACCACCGCCATCGCGGCAGCGCAAAGTCGCCCCGTCAGAGACACTGCAAAATATCGGCAAGCTGGGCTCCACAAACAAGCCTGGGCGACCGTTTCCACTGTGCTTTCTGGACTGCGTCTCGCCCCTGCATTTGTGCATCCTGCCCTGTCTTTGGGGCAGAAGCCTCAGGGCCTTGAATCGAATGGCGCTGCGAGCCGCTCGGTGCCCGGCTCTGCCTGTTCCTGGAGTCTTTTGCCACTTGTGGCTGTGCACCGTATATCTGTGGATGCAACTGCCGCTGCAGTTGCTGGGCCTGTTGGACCTGGGGCTGTTGCTGCGGGACCGCTGCCTGTCGTTGAGGCACTGCGGCACCTCAGGCAAGATGAAGGCAAGAGAACGCAGGGAAACGGACTTCCCCGGTGACTTCCCCCTGAAAAATCATCAACAAAGTAATTTTGTCCCATCAAAGTACTTTACCACGAAATCAATTTTTCCACAATCAAAAAATCTTATTTCCAAGTAAAGAAGCATTCTGTAGGTGTTGTACTAGTAGTAGCGCTAGTAGTGGAGTAGTAGTAGCAGTAGCAGTAGCAGTAGCAGTAGCAGTAGTAGTAGTAGTAGTAGTAGTAGTAGTAGTAGTAGTTATTAGTCGTAGCAACAGCAGCATCACTCCCTGGCCTTGACACCCGCCTCCTTCCTTCCTTCATTCCTTCCATCCTCCCGCCCTCCCTCCCTCCCTCCCTCCCTCCCTCACTCCCTTCCTTCCTTCCTTCCTTCCTTCCTCCCTCCCTCCCTCCCTCCCTCCTTCTATCCTACTGCAGAGGAAAAGTTTCTTGTCGGGAAAACCAGTTGATTGGAAAAACAGTTTTTGATTGGCATGCAGACTTCCCGCAACCTCAAACGGTAAGACCAGGACCTCTTTGCTGAGATGGAGCAGCTTTTGGCGCCACCGGTGCGCGGGACAAAAACTGCTCTGCCTGGCATGTCAATGATCTTGTCAACTGCTGGACCTTCGCCGAATGCGCTTTCCTGCTTTTCCTCTGCCAGGCGGTATCTGTTTAGTCGGAACCCAGAGATCCCAATACCCCATTATTAGGGAACATACCTCAAGCTAGGGGGAGGCTCGATATTGTGATTTGAAGTATATTCCTTAATGAAGTGGTGGGAATGCAAAGCTCCAAGTCTGCTCCTATTACACGACAAGGCGAAACCCGACCTCGCATGCGTCTGGCGGCTCTCAATCCCTCACTTCCCCACCACAATACTCGCCGGTAGACTGCTTCGATGAATGTAGAGGTCCTCAGTAAACCGTGCCATGATGTGACAAGACTCGGGCTCTCATGTTGTTGCGTCCTTTGCACCGTCGCACATTCCCCCTCCGTCAAAGAGGTGCTGTACTCCGTGCAAGCTCCCAGAAGCACAAACAGGAAAACACCTTTTGGGCGCAGCCGCCTATGCTGTGGCGATCGCTGGGCGTGCATCTTGTGCAAGTTCAGCACATGTTGCACTGCACGGCCTTTCTGGAACATGGCCATTACGAAACCCTCCACTACAGAGAGAAGCAAAACAAGAACATGTGCCATCCAACAGGAAACTTAGACTTGGCCCTTGCTTACATCGAGACCTGAACCTTAAGCTTGAACCATGATCCCCACGCCCGAAAGCTCTGAAAGCCGTGATTACTTCGAGATCCCCATATCCCTTTCTTTAGGAATATACATACCTTAGACCAGAATATTAAGCCCTCATGGTTTAAGGTATATGCCTTTTCTTTAGGAATATACATACCTTAGATCAGAATATTAAGCCCCTATGGTTTAAGGTATATGCCTTTATCCACTAATTAGGGAATATACATTAAATTATAGGAGCCTTAATAAGCCCCATATGGGTAGTTTTCTAAATTAGGGTCCTTTTTGGGGGGTCCTTTTTTATAAGGGTGCCGTACCATATTGGGGACCTAAACGGGACCCTAATTTAGGGAACTACCCATATGACTCAAGGTATATTCCTTAATTGATGTGTACTGGGATCTTTGCATAGACCTTCGGACTCGAACTCCGCAAGACCTAGTTCGATCTGCGCTCACTTGTGGCCGCTTTCCTCGCTTTCCTCTTGACATCTGACGCACCTGTCGGGCGAATGTGCTCTGACAGGGTCTCTTCAGGGGCTCTTTTGGGCTCAGGGGCTCTGACTCTATAGGGCTCAGGGGCTCTATAAGGTTCAAGGTTCAGGGTTCAAGTTCAGGGTAGTAGGGCTCGAAGGAATAAACGGCTTGACGGAGTTCTGGAACTGGAGGGCCCAAACAGTCATCTCCACTCTGGGTTTGGAACTGCGGCTGCAGCAGCTCCTACATTCTTGGCCTACTGGAGCTTAGTTTTTCTGCGTACACGAATGTTCGCTGTTTAGCACGGAATAAAGTAGGTCTGCAGATGATTGCAGAAGCTTCTGAGGAGATCCCACCTCCCGGAACCCACGTCCTTAACCCAATCAGTTGCGAAATCCTAGAACTCCCGACCACCCATGATCACACCAATCCCTCAGCGCAACGATGATGTAGTGGCAAGGATGGTGGATGCAGGCTCTAACTCGTGTTCTGCCACTTCTTTTGCTCTTTTTGGTAGTTGGCCCGAGAGAAAACCCGAAAACTGAAACTCCTCTCAAATGGCCTGCAGTGGAAGCCGCGACCGTTGAGGAGGCGCTCGCGTCTCTTGCCGACACCCTGGAAAAGGCCGCAATACTCACTTGTCACTGGCTGAATGGGGTTCTATAAGGCCGGCGCACCTTATTTTCCCTGCCGTTCCCCTTGCTTTTCGCGGGGTATTCTTGTTTCAGGCTTGTTCTCTTGCTTTCCGGGTTGCGGGGGTGGGGGGGGGGTGGAGGGGTGGCTAATGGTGGACTTGTGTCGACAACACTCATCAAACACGCTGCAGTTTCTTCCTGTTTGGCCCCTCTCTTGCTTTCGGGGTTGGGGGGGTGGGGTGCGGGGGCTAATGACGGACATGTGTCGAAAGCGTTCCTCAAAACGCTGCAGTTTGGATTTGTTTGGCCCTTGGCATGATTAATCTTCAAGGCCCGGAAAATATGCTATAATCAACACGTAACACGCCTGCCACGCAAAATCAACTTCAACGCAGCCCAGATCACCAGTGAACACATAGCGCGCTGACCTTCTACAAGGGTCCTTTGAAGGGTTCTTTCAGGATTCTGGCGCGGGGTGAGGAGTTTAATTAGGGCCCGAATACTTCCAATAGGTCATAGGGTTTTGGGCAACACTAGGTGGCCTGCCTGCCTGGAGAATGACAGAATTAAAGCAAATATGTGTATGCCTAGATATATTCATATATATATATATATATATAGAGAGAGAGAGATATATATATATATATATACATGTATACACATATGCATACACATATCTACCGATACACCTATCTACCTATCCATGATTTGTCTATCTACCTGTCCACCTACCTGTTTGTCTGGAGAATACATACAAATGTGTGTATATATATATATACACATAGTATACTACTGGCAGTGTATGTTACATACATGAATAGTATATAGTATAGTAAAAATAATAGAATAGAATAGAATAGAATAGAATAGAATAGAATAGAATAGAATAGAATAAAGAATATATATATATATATAGTAGTTAAATAATTGAGTTAGTACTAAATACTCTTTAATGATCCCTTGTCCAAATTCTGATTCCATGTGGGACCTCGGACAGAAGCTCGCCGGGAAGATAGCTTACTGTCACCTGGCAGAGCTCAGGGTTTAAGGGTTCAGGGTTTAG